TTCTGTGATGGTGTTTCTTTGTCTCATTAACTCAGAGGTCCCCACCTTGCTTTGTCCATACCTCTCCCCTTGGACTGCCCCCTCTGGCATCTCCAGCCCCCAGCACTTTCAAGTTCCTGGGATGAGACAAGGGCACATAGAATTAGGCCTCAGCACACAGTGGGTTTCAGTCCAAGGAAGAGAGGGAATGAGCAGGAAGTATTTCATGGAGACAGAGTTAGAGGGAACTCAGATGCTTCTCAGGAGGGCATCTGGGCACAAGCACAGCATGAACCAAAGCATAGATGTAGGAGAGGATGGGAACAATTACTGGGGAACAGGAGGAGTCCAGCTGGAGGAGTGCCAGCTGGAGAAGCAGGGGAGAGGCTGGAGCGGTGGGGCAGGCAGGGTCTAGGCAGGGGCTGCCTTTGTTGTAACCAAAGCACCTAGCTCTTGGGTCTGGAATCTCAGGGATACTAATGGTGGGCGGGGCAGGTGCAGTAGGGAAGCCTGGTTCCCATTTCTCCTCCCCATCCTCAGCCCCTCCCAGAGACCTTCCTCTGAGTGCTTCTCTCCCAGTGCCCCCTTGTCCTGGTAATGCCCAAGGTGTTCCTGCTGTTGTCCTGACAGCTGCAGGTAAAGCCTCAGCCATGGCCACACCAGGCACATGCCATCACACACGAATGTAGCACAGATGCATCCCTGGTCACCTAGCCACACTAAAACAAACATGGTACACAGCTGCATACCATCACTGCCATGTGCATGTGATGGCGCAGTGACACATGCTGTTGTGGGCATACTTTGCACACAGCCCCACAGTCTGGCTCCTTCTCTGGGTCAGTTGCTTCTAAATTTCCTGAGAACCTGTCCTGCCCCCTGGTGGCCATTCCCCAAGCCACTGCCCCTCTAGAAGGACCCCTTCTACCTCCTTGCCTTCTGGCCTAGAGCAGGCTCTTCCCTCAAACTGCGACTATGAGAGCAGGCTCCTCAGACATCCTCCACACCAGTCTCCCCCATCAGACATCCTCCAGACCACCCTCCCACCTCAGACGTCCTTCAGACCAGCCTCCCCCCTCAGACTGGTGCTGTCAGGCAAGGCCTTCTCAAACAGGGTGATCGATGCCCCAGTTTGCCTGGGACTGAGGGGTTTCCTGAGACTTGAGATATTCAGTGCTAAAACTGGGAAAGTTCAGGTAGACTAGAACTAGTTGGCGGTTCTAGTCTTCGGATCCGTGTGCCTTCAGCTCAGTCTCCCCTCAGACTGGACCCATCAGACCAGGCCCTTTCAGACACCCCTGGGTCAGCTTACCCCTCAGGCTGGGCCTTTCAAACGAAAGCTCTTTTGATGCGTTCCCAGACGAGCCCTGGCTCAGGCTCACCCTGTCGCATGCGCCCTCTCAGACCCACTCACCCTCAGATTGACTTCCCCATCAGAGTGGCACTGTCAGGTCCCTTCCAGCCTCTCCCCAAACTGGCTCCATCCGACGCCCTTCCTCAGACCTCCTTCCTCTCCCCCTCCTCTGAGAAGAGGCAAGGTGGAGAGATTACATCCCAATCACTCCTGCCCCGAGGACCTTAGCCCTCCATCTCCAGGCAGGCATTGCCTTCCCAGGGTCCGGCCGCTCTGGGCTGTGGGCCTCAGGACCTGAAGACAGGCAGGTGCAGGACTGGGACTGGGACTGGAGCAGGGGATTCTGTTCTCTCCACGTGAGAATGAACTTTCTCGGGTGAGCTCACAGGCTCCAGGGAGTTCTCAGGGCCCGAGGCTGCCCAGGAAGGATTCCTGCCTGATGTCGCCCTCTTTCCTGGCTGGCTGCTGGGAACGCACACCAGACGTGGGATGTCTGTGCTGAGAGCTGCCAGCCTAGGAGCAGGAATGAAGGGTAGGCGGGTGGCCGAGAGGGGGCAGCAGAAGCCAGGACAGTCCCTGGTGCAGGCCGGAGAGGAGCGGCGGCCACAGGCTGGGGTCTGGATAGGTATGGGAACACAGAGGGAGGCAAAAAAAAGAAGGACTGACAGAGTCAGGGAAGAGGGAGACAGAGGTGGAGACACGGATAGAGATATATACAGAGAGACACAGAGATGGGGATGGAGACACATGAGACGGAGAGGGAGAAGGCAGAAAAAGGGAAGACAGACAAGGAAGAAGAGATGCGAAGACAAGCATGGAGAGGGATGGATATAGAGACAAGGAGGGAAGAAGAGACAGGAGAAGAGACACAAGATGGAGACATAGAGAGAGACAGGGATGGAACAGAAACATACAGAAAGAAATGCAGATAGGAAACAGGACAAAGACAGATTCAGAGATAGGAATGGGACAGGAGACAAATATAGGCTGGGTGCAGTGGCTCATGCCTGTAATCCCAGCACTTTGGGAGGCCAAGGCGGGCAGATCACCTGAGGTCAGGAGTTTGACACCAGTCTGGCCAACATGGCAAAACCCCGTCTCTACTAAAAATACAAAAATTAGCCAGGCATTGTGGTGGGCACCTGTAAACCCAGCTACCCGGGAGGTTGAGGCAGGAGAATCGCTTGAACCCGGGAAGTGGAAGTTGCAGTGAGCCTAGATCGCACCGTTGCACTCCAGCCTTGGTGAGAGTGAGACTCCGTCTCAAAAAAAAAAAGAAGAGACAAACATAGAAATGAAAATGGGTTCAGCAAGAAGAGAGGGGCGGGGGTGCAGAGGCAGGTCTAGAGTTGTAAGAATGGAGTAGAGCCACACTGGAAGAGAGATCAAGCAGGCAGGGGGCTGATAGGCCAGGACACAGAGCGGGGCCCAGCCACAGTGTATCGTGGGGGCGCAAAGAGAAGTAGGGGGCTGGAAGGCTGGGACCCTGTGCAATGCACCTGAGGTCTGGGATCCCAGCCTCCCCTTCCCCCCATGCCTCAGGGTTGTTTTAATTTTCCAGATTCTGTTTTAGCTCCAAGAGCTGATGTCTGCAATTATGCCTGGCTCCCCAGAACCACCGTGGGAACTAGATGTGGAGGGACAGTACTAGAGAGAGGTGACAGTCAGCAACTGAGACCCTCCAAGGCGAACAGCCTCTGTGAGGCCAAGGGCCCAGGACCCACAAGGAGGGTGACCACCCGCAGGCCCAGGGCAGTTGTCTAGTCAGAGGCAATGATGCTGCCCCTCCAGCCACCCTGGGCTTGAGGCAGAGCAGGGTCTCTCTCTTAGAGCTGGGGGAAGAGATAGAGGCCCCAGTCCTCCCCTCCATTGGCCTCTGAGGCTCTGGCAGGCCCCCTCCCCTACTTCTGCCCCCTCCTCCCGAGGCCCCACATAATTACTTTCCCATGTTGCTAATGGAGGCCAGATTGCTGATGCCCAAGCTCTGGGTGGGCGGTGGGTAGGTCAGGGCTGACCAGGGCTCTCAAGGCAGAAAGGCAGCTCAGGCCAGAGACTCCTCACTTCATCCCACCCACCCCAAAGATGAAGGGTGGAAGTTCTGACACATCCCAGGAATGTTCTGGGGGAGACTGCTGGTGACCCCGTTACCTCTACTCATGCTGGAGCCTAGGTTCAGGCTGAGCCACACCTCACAGGGACCAGACCCCCAGGCAGAACTCGGGGCTCAGGGTACAGAGCAGGTCCACAGCCACCTCTCAGGATGTCCATCCTGGGAGCCTCTTCCTGTGAATGAAGAGCCTCGCATTTCCATAGCTGGGCGTGTTCAGCTTGAAAAGCCACAGGCTTCACCTTGATGCCAGGCCTTTGCTTTCATGGGTCTCCCACCTAGAACACCCCTCTCTCTTCTAACCTGGAGAAGAGACGGCCACTTTACTCTGGAGCCCCTCACCAGGCCTCACCTCTGGGACTATGTCTCGTCCAGGCCGGACTCATCGGTGCTTGAGGCACTGTCAATCCCCTTCCCAGGGCACGTTCCCGGGGGGCCTGGATCCCAGGAAGGGGTATCCATTGCTGGAGCCTAGTCTGAGGGGAAAGGTTTGAACTGGGAGAAAGTGTGTGATGGCATCAGGGTGGCTGGTGGCTCTGTGCACACATCTGTGCACAGGTGGGTGTGGGTGTGGACCTGACTTTGACTCCACCCCCCTCTTCTTACTCCAGGCACCCAGAGCAAGGCCAAAACCTGGCTCCCCAGGTCAGAGCTCCGGCCTCTCCTTTTACCCCTGCCCCCAGGTCACAGGGCCTGCCTACTTGGCCCCAGCCCTGGACATTCCCAGCTGAAAATGCCTGCTTACGCTCAGTAAAGCGGCTTCTATAAGTGGGGTCTGGACCTAAGCAGGCCTGGGACAGCCAAGTGTCCTCCTCTGAGGAGAAGTCAGAGGGACCCCGGAGCCCCAGTTTGGGGACTGAAAGGGTGTGGGCAGGATCTGAGGTTGGACCAAAGACTGACCATCCTATAAAGCCAAGGCCCCATCCTCTCCAGCTCCACAGAGTCCTGACTATAACCCAGCCCTGGGAGTAAGCCTTGTACTCTGTCATTCCAGTTCTGAAGCCCAGGTCCTGTCCCTGGTCATACTCCAAGCAACCTCCTCCTTCAGGCAGCCGCCCTGCCTGCCCAGGCCCAGGACACTCTGTGCTCTGAGCCCTTGTGGGCTGGCTGAGCCCTAGGCCTGACCTTCTGGCACTCCTGGACTGTCTCTTGGATGGCAGGGATCAGGCACACCCCCTGGCCCCAAGGATGAAGCCTGCCCCTCCCCTTCTGCCATCTTAGCCCTGTGCACTGGGCTCAGGCCTGGGCACTCATGGAAGGCAGTTCTAGAGGTGACCCTTGAAAGGCTTCTGCCCCAGCCAAGACTTGGGCAGCCTCCAGGACTGACTGGATACCCTATGGGATCCCTCATTTCCCGCAGTTTTTCCCTGGCTGCAACCCTGTGCTCCAGGGAAGCCCTACCCGCCAAGAAGTAGACAACACTGTTACCAGATACACTGGCCTGAAAGCTGAACGCCTCTCCCCACCTTCCCCAACCACAATTTCTTTCCTCCACCAGCCCTGGAAGGGGCAGGGTCCTTGGAAGAGGGGTACCCTCCCAAAGCGGATCTGTTCCAAGGACTCATGAAATGGTGACGTTTAATGAGAACCCCCCACCCCCCCACCCTGTATATACATCTATAAAAAATTCAAATACAGCAAGTTACCATTGAGTCAGACTAGAAGGGACTGACAGGGCATTAAATACTGTGGGATAGGAGCAGGGTCAGGGGAGGGGTGTACAAAACAGGGCAGAGGGGAGGGGACTGAAAAGTGTGGGTGCTGGGGGGAGGGGGATGGCTGGGCCCCCCCAGCATCAGGAGCTTATAATCTGACGGTGGCAACAGAGACCCTGGGATAGACAGGAGGCTGGGGCAGGAGAAATCGGATGTGAGAGGCTCCCTCACGTCCCCCAAGGGCTCCTGGGAGTCGCTGGCATTGGAGGGTCCAGCCCAAGGGGCCAGGGTGAGGGGGTCTTTGGTGGGTGGGTTAGCTGCATGGCCCACCTCCCACGAGGGAGGAAGGAGGGCCAGCTTGGTGCAGCAGGGCTGGGGGGCGGCAGGCCCGGGCCCGCCGCGGGTCTCCACAAATTGTGTCTGAAGAGAATGCAAAAGGTCCTCCTGCCCGTGTGCAAAATAGAAACCGGGGTCTGCAGGCTCAGCTCCGGCCTCTTGCTCCTCTGCAGGTGCTCTGCATGTCCTCATGGGGTGCCGGGCTCTGCAGAGACAGGCAGGGGCCTGTCAGGGAGGGGGCTGCAGTGGGGGTTCCCTCAGGCTCCCTCTGCCACCCAGCCTCACTCAACCTACCAGATCATGAGATTGCTGGCAGTGGTGGCAGCGGCAGCCAGGGCCAGAGTGACAGGGACGCTGACCAAGAAGGGTACCGAGGGTCCCCCGCCGCTGCCCAGCTCCCCAGGGTCACAGATCTTCGTGGTAGGTGGGGGTGCCAGGGAGCTGGTGGTGCTGGTCGTGGTCTCTGGGGAACATGGGGGAAACTCAGGGCAAGGCCAGGGCTGGGGTCCCATCCAGATCTGGGGGCTCATGAGACATACCGTTCTGCTTCCTGCATCAGACTGGTACTGCCTCCCCCATCAGGCAGCCCTGCCTCCCGCATCAGGCAGATCCTGCTTCCCAAGGCTCACAGATAACCCCTCCACCCAATGACCCCTACCAAGGATGTCCAGTTAGCAAGGACCAGGAATGGCAGGGTTTGGACAGACAGGCAGAAGTGTGGCTGCCACAGAGTGTGGCTACCCCGGGAGCAGAGGCTGGAGGCAGCAGGGTAGAACCAGGCCACAGGTTCTACCACAGGCCTCCAGGACAGCAGAGCCAGGAGGGAGGGCAGGAGCAAGCTCACCCGCAGCCTGGGCCTCCGTAGTGAGGTGTCGCGGTTCCTCAGTCCAGGGCGTAGCATGGGCAGCCACGCTCCAGTCACTCCATGTCCCAATTTCATTGTCCTTGGCTGCCACTTGGATAATGTACTCCTTCCCGGCGTAGGCATCTGTGATGGTGTGTGCTGTGCCATCAGACAGCTCCACCTGCAGCCAGACCATGGGGTGGGGGTAAGGACACACTTGGGGGCCAGGATTGTGAGGTCCCTCCAGAGGAAGTGAGCATGCCTCTGGGGAGAGGCGAGGACTTCCCTGGAGGAGAAGGAGGACATGGAGAATATTCTTGCCAGAGATTGGGGACATCTTAGGGAGGAGACCCCACGGGAGAGCAGCTGTCCCTGAAGGAGAGTAATGACATCTTCAAGGAGACCAGAAACACCCCAGGGGATAATAAGGAGGTCTTTGTCCTGTGCCTACGACTCTGCTGTTGCCCCTGCTCTCTCACAGTCCCCAGCCTGGCTGAATCCTGACCACAGTCCCAGCCTGGAGGTGGCAAGGGCAGGGGGTGAAAGGAGATGGTAGTGCCGCCCTCTTCTCCCACCAGGAAGCCACTGAGGGGAGGTTCCACACACTGACTGGAGCTAGGCTGCCTGAATTTCAAATTTGGCCCCATCGCTTAGTAGTGAGGTGACCAAGTTACTTAACATCCTCACGCCTTGCCATCCTCATCTGTAAAACGGCATTCATGAGAGTATCCATCTCTTAGGGTTACAATGAGGACCAAGGCATGAGGACAGCACCAAACGCACTTCAGCCAGCGCTGTCATTACCATGGCTTCTGGTCAGAGCCCGGGTTCCCAGATGCCCAAGGCACCTACCAGCCTGGCCCCAGCTGAGCCTCCCCTCAGGAAGGCCTCAGTGTGGTTATCACCCTGCTGGGGCAGAAAGGGGTGGAGGACAGCCCCTGGGGCTGCAGGGCACAGAACAGCTGCTCCATTTCCTCCTGGAGGCATCGCAACCCCACTCCTGCCCCGCTGGCCCCATCCTGCTGGTCTCCCCCAACCCTCCAGGCCGGGCTGCCTGTCCGGCGCCCCTTCCAGGCCCAGGCTGGGCTCTGGTTCATCTCAGCGGCACCCGCTGCCTCATTAAGCCGCCTCGTAAACAGGGGTAGCCAGCGGGGGCGGAGGAGAGGGCCGCTCTGGGCCACGTCTGGCTTCAGGGCTTTTTTGGTCCCTGTTCCAATCTTCCCCCCAGAAAACTGGGGTCTGGGCTATCTGACCTGACAGGCTGTGAGTGCATGCACACATGTGTGTATGTGTGTCTGGGCATGTGCTCAGCCTGTAGCCCTGATAACGGTGGTAAAGGTCAGGGTCATGGTGAGACACCTTTTAGGCCCAGACCCTGGGCTCAGTAAATCCTAATCTCAGCCCTGGAAGATTGGAGGGTCCCAAAGACCCTCTTCTCCTGGAGCCAGGGTCCCAGTTCTACCTCTGGTACCCCAGTCCCTTTCTGCTCGGCTCCTTCAGCTCTGTCTCCCTCCTGCCAGGATTAGACCGCAGACCTCCATGTCAGTCTCTCCCCACAGGGAGGGAGCCACAGGGAACAGATCAAATTGCCGCTTCATTGTGGGCTCATGGTGGGCACCATACCTCTGGGAATGTGGCCCCCAGGAGGTCAGTGCTCTCCTGGGGACCACATATCCTAGACCAGGATCCTTCTTGTGAGGTTATCAGTGATCCCTTCATCCTTCCTCTCAAGAAAAAGGCTTCTCAACTGGCAGGAACTCCCTAGTCACTGACATTGGCCTCCCCTGGGAGTCCTCCATGGTCTGCTGGAGCAGATGCCCGACACGCCTTCCAAGCCTCCCTGTCCACTTAGGGCCAGGGCAGGAGCTGCAGGGAACCCATGCTGGGTCCCCGTACTTGCCTCTCTCTTGTCCATGCTGAGACAGCCCCTGCCTAGGGCCTATTCTTTTGCAATTCTTGGTCTGGATTTTCCTCCTGAAAATCCAGGTGATGTTTTTCTCTGTTCTGCCCTTCTTGCCCCCTCCCAGTCATACACCTGCCTCTCCCCAAGGTCAAGGATTGGGGAGAATAGACTCTGTTCAGAGCAAAACTTCAGATGAAAAGAACCATAAATCTAACCAGCCCCAGTGCTACTGAGACACAGAATGGGGCTAGGATGAGCTACAGGCCACGCGTATTCTCGCCACAGAGCCTGCACACTTTGCTCTTCCCACCTCAGTGTGGGGGTCAGTTTTGCGCATGGTCTTGGCATGTTAGCTGCATACACGTATGGCGTATGATTCCTGCTGGGAGCCGCGCGTGTGTGCATGTTCCCGTGTGTGTGGTGGGCAGTGTGCCAGGTCCACTGCAAGGCGTGTGCGCCGCGATGCGCGGGGCTGCTGCCTGTAGCTCGTTAGCGGGGGAGGGGGGGCTTGTGAAACTAGACCCTAGTTATTAGCAATGCATTAGGCGCGGGCAGCTGGCCAGGCGGGAGGGACTCCGGACTCTGTCAGGGAACATGTGAGTGCATGAGCAGGCTTTGTGGGGGACAGGCACCCAGGAATCGAATTACACGCTTTAAAGGCCAGACAGGATAGGGGCACGAGGAGCTGGAGTTGGAGCCTGGTAGATGAGGTGGGGGTACAAGTTGACCCCCAGGAACCAGCCTGGGTTGTCCCATGGAGCACCCTCCCAACCCCAGTCCTAGCCTACAGGCCTCGTGGGCCACACAGAGTGCCCACAACCCTATGGGCCCAGGGTGCTCAAAGCAAGAGAACTCCAAGTCTGCCTCAAACCTCTGGCTGTTCCCCGGAGCTCTCTATTGTAGCTTGATCCAGACCATAGTCCGACCCCATACTGACTCTTGTCCACTGCTTGGTTCCCAGCCAGGCTACCTTCCAACTCATAGCCTCAAGCTGACCCCTAAGCTGGGTCTGACTTTGGAGTCCTGATGCCAGTCAGGGTCTAAACTCGCACCCTGGACCAGGCTTGACCCCACTGCCTGATCCTGACCCCTTAGGGCCAGCACAGGCCCAGAGCCTGGGCCAGAGTATAAAGAGGGAGATGTCTTTGAGGGCTGAAAGAGGGAGATGTCTGGTCAGGCTGAGGTAAGGAAAGGGAGCCTTGCCTGTCCTGCCCGCTATCTCCCTTCCTGCATTTCTCTCCACTACCCGGGGGAGCCACAAAAAGACATATGTGTTCCCAATGCACTAACAGGGGTCACTGGGAACCCCTAAGGACACCTGCCTCAGCTCCATCCATTCTCCCAGGCCCACCTGGTCCCTTTTCCCTACAGAGAGCCTGACTCATCAGGTCTCACACTGGAGCTGCTGCCACGTGGGATATGGGTGCCACTCACTCCACATGATTCTAACTCAGGCACCCAGGATCTTGACAGGGCAGGGCACTCACATGCTGCCACTGGTCCAGGATGAGGGGTCGGTAGCGCAGAAAGAACTTGAGAGGAAAAGACTCAGGGTCAGGCCAGGTCGAGGGGATCTGCCATGTCACCTCCAGCCGGCGAGGGTTGCTGGGCACTGGCCGGGCTACCACATTTTCTGGAGGATCAGGCTTCACTGTTCAGGAGACATAGCTTCATTACTACACTCATCTCTGGCAACAACCCACTTTGTCAACTCCAGCCACCATGTTGACCCTCTCATATTGCCAACCATTGTCATCAATATCACAGTCACCATGCCTCTTCTCTATTGTCAATTCTGGTAGCTACCGTAGAAAACTATCTCATTACTTCCAAGTCTGACATCCCCATCATCACCAATGGCTGTCACTACAGTCACTGTCACCAACTCTTCATATCAACATCCCAAATTTCATCTCATCATCCCATCATCCCAACTCTATCCTCATACTGACCTGCATCCCAGTAACTAAGCCAATATGATGCCTCCATAGTTACCACTGCCACCCCCACTGTCACCTAGATTACCCCCTCCTACCCCAGCATCACACACTCCCCCAAGCCTGGTTTTTCACTTCAACTTTTCCAGTTCCAAACTAAGACCTGGGTCAAGAGTAAAAGAGTCCACAGGTGTTGCAGATCTGGAGGTAGGCTGGGGATCTGATGGGAGTGCCTAAGGGCCCAGCTTATGTAGAAATACTCTGGCTAGGGATCCAGTCATGGGGTCTGGGGAGAAGACAGGGGCAGGCAGAAGATCTGGCTGGGGGGGAGGAATAGCAGGCAGAAAGCCTGCCTGGAATAGGGCAGGGGCAGGTAGAGGGACTGGCTGGGATGGGGGCGTCAGGGGGAGGACGGTATCTGTCCCAGTCCTGTCTCCTGTTCTGACACCTCATTCATCACAGGCCGTAAGGAAGCCATTAGAGTTGGGCGGGGGTGGAGGCTGCAGCTGCACAAGGGTCTGGCCCAGTCTGCCCCCGCTTCCCCCTGCTGCATGTTCTGGGAGCCAGAAAAATGATCAGAAGAGCTGCTGTACAAGTCTCTCAGCCCTTCAGGTAAAGGACATTCACTTACACATTCACAGGTATATATGTCATGCATATATGTGCACATATATGCACACTGCACATACTTGTGCAGAGGCATGTACATGCCATGTATACATTTGCATGCATGTGGACATCCCCACCAATGTTCATGTGCCTCTGGCACATATCCACTTACATTCCCACTGGAGTAGGCAGCAGGTTCCCCCAACCACCACACTTACCAATGGTGAACTCGTCAAAGGTGATAGCTGTGGCATTGTGGCCCAGGGCATTGCTGACACTTATGGAGACCTTGTACTTGATGGTGGAGAACAGGTGCATGTAGCGAATGTGGCAGCGGTTCTTGAGGGCTGGGTCCTTCTCACAGACCATAATTTTGGAGCCATGCCTGGGGAGAGGTGAGGCCCAGGTACTGTTACCAACATCAAGGGTCAGATGGGGTAGAGGTTGAGGGAAGGTCAAGCCCAAGGCAGGGCTGGGGTATGGACGGAGGGCATGGTGGTGGGATGGGGGAGAGGTCAGAGGTCAGGGCTGGACCCGGGTCACAGGCACAGCTACTCACAGCACAGTCACATTGAAGGTGTTGGGAATGTAGGTGGGGGTGGGCAGATGCCAGCTGCAGTAGAAGCCCTTGGGGTAAGTGTTGGAGCGGCAGCTGAGCACAGGCTCCCGCGGCGGCACTGGGGGTGAGGACAGTATGGTCAGGGCATTCTTGGAGCTCCCAGTCCCCTGCACTGTATGGGGACAGGTGGGCCCCAGAGCCCCAGCTCTCCCCCCTCAACCCATCATCGATGCCAAAGTTGTGGGGGGGAGGCTGTCAGCGAGGGTCTGAGGCTTCCCAGGCCACAGAGAGCCAGATGTTTAATTAAAGAAAAACAAGGGCTGTGCGGACAGGGAACCCCCCCTCCACCTGCTCAATGGAGGCAGGAACCGTGGGGATCAGGGGGCTGCGGGCCTCAACTCATCAATCACAGGCTGGAGGTGATGTCTGGGGGAATCGGCCCCAGCCCCACATCTCCTGCCACTTTGTGTCCACTCCCAGAGGAAGACTGTGCTGCGGAGACGAGGGGAGTCTTGAATGGGTCCTCCGACTGCTGGAGTATTGGGTGCACTTCCTGGAGAAGAGACACCCCAGACTTCCCTCAGTAGAGATGGAGACACAAGGACAGGCCTGGTGGCTACACATGAACGGCACTGGGCAGCTGTTTGTATGCATATCTGTGTTTGTAGATGTCTGCATGCAGGGGTATATATGCTACATACATGTCTCTATGTGACATGAATGAGTGACCAAGGATCCATAGGAGCAGCTATGTGGGTGTGTGTGAATCTGCGTGTCTGTGTGATTGTGTGTACAAGTGCCTGTTGAAAGGAAGCTGCTGTTCCCTTTGTGTGTACCTCATCCCAGTGCCAGCCCCCAGCATCTTCCATCGCAGACCCTTTAAGAAGCCCTTTACATGGTAAGCAGCTGCCCTCACTCTGGAATAGGAAGGCCCAGAAAGGGATAGGGACCTCTCAAGGTCAGACAGTAAGCCAGAGCTGGGACTAAACCCCAGGACAGGGGTAACCCTATATACACACACTTGGGAAGTCCTTTCTGCAGTCTAGCCCGCACTCTTTTTTGCTGCCGTGAGCACTTAGCCCAGCTGTCCCACCCTCAGGCATTGGGTAAGGCGTGAGGACAGGCGGCTCAGGTTCCTGGAAGGAGGCAGCTTATGTGATCTGACCCAAGCAAGGAATGTCCGTCTGCGGCTCCAGGGACACTGACACCTCCCTCCTGTGCCTCCCCCCTCCTCCGCCCCCGGCCTGACAGGTGGACAGGAAATGGGAGGGGGGCAGCTCAATAAGCCAGGGACAGTGAAGGGGAGTGCATGTCTATGCTTGTAGAGTGGCCATGGTGACACAGGGGAACAGTGGGCTTCCATCCACAGTGTGCACGTGACTGTGAGTGACTCTGTGTGATTGCATGTGCGTGTCCAGTATGTGTGATGCTGGGAGGGGCCTGGGGCAGAACCCCCAGGATCCAGATCTCGCTTTGCAGCAGAAGAGATGAGGGGACAGAGAGGCATCAGGAGAACTCCAGGTGGAGGCGGCAATGCTGTGGGCGGAGGCAGCTCCATTCCCCAGGCCTGTCGGGGAAAGCAGGGCCCAGTTGAGACCCCACAGGGCCAACCTGCGTTCTGCCCTCCACTGTCCTCCTCCCTTGGGAAGCCTTCCAGGCCCTGTGTCCATCTCGTGTCGTTCCATGTTCATCCTGTGTGCCTTTAGTGTCTCTTCCCTGTCTGCCCACGGGTGCAGAACTCTGCCTGGGGGTGGGGTGGGGGGCGGCCAAGGACACAGGAAGTGCCTTCTGGGGGCCTGTTGGCCAGGCCAGAGTTGGCAGGCACCCCAGGAGGAAAGGACATTCCGAGGTCGGCCGAGAAGCCTCCACTCCCCTGCTCCTGCCACCGCCCCCCTTACCCCCAGGAAGGGGAAGGGCGCTGGGGGTGGGGTGGGGATCGGAGCCTGCAGAGTCAGCTCCCTGCTGCCCGGGACTCCTCAGAGGGCAGAGCGGGCCACAGCACTGGACTCACAGGCCCCCACCCCCGGCCAGCCTCCCCACTGACCAGGCTCCTCCACTCCCCAACTGTCCTCCCCCCTCAGACCAGCCTCCCCTTCCAACCTCCCCCTCACGCCAGTTCCTCTCCCTGACTAGGAAGGTCACGGTGGGGTGGGGGTTGGGGGGCCGACTGGGGGCTTTGTCTGTCATCTGGCTACTCCTGCCTGGCCCTGGGCCCTGAGCAGGGAAGGGCTTGGGTTTCCTGACAGGGACCAGGTTTCTCAGAGGGAAAAGGAGGAAAGAAAAACAAAAGGAAGAAAAGGAGTGACTTGCTGCAGCTGGAGCCCAGCTGAGGGGCCGGGTGGGTGGAGGTGGGGGTGCTGTGAGATTGTAGGACAGTGTGGGATCAGGATGCCTGTTGTGAGTGTGTTGTGAGTTGGAGGAAAAGCTGTTTTTAAGAAGCTGTGATTGCAAGGCTGTGTGTAACTGTGAGAGGCTCCGTGTGTGTGACTGTGAGACTCTGGGCAGTTGTGTAACTGTATGATGGGAGGCTGTGTGGGACTGGATGACTGTGTTTGCACATGACTCAGGGTGAGGCTGTTCAATTTTGAGACCATCCCTATGTGCAAGGCTGTGTGGCCAAGGTACTCTGTAAGAGTGCCTGCAAATGTGCCACTGTGTCTGAACACAGAAACAGCTAGAGCTCATACATGAGGCAGCGCATATGTGATGGAGCAAAGTGAGGCTGAATGCATTTTGCAAACTGTGCGTGTGGAAGGTGCCCGGAATTCCCAGCATGTTCACACGTATGAACTGAACACTGTGTGAGTGCATGTTAGAGTGTGTGAGCAAACGCTCCTATGCACACAGGTCACAGTATCAGGCTCTGGGCATACAGGGCATCTGGGTTGCCCCTTGGGGGTCTCTTGAGATACCCAAGTGACTGTGTCAGCCTGTGGCAGGGTGTCGCTAGGTCCCATGCGGGGCCGTGTGCGCGTGTGCATGCGTGCGTGTGCCCCCGCTGGCCCAGGGTTTGTTTGTTTTCCTCCTAATTGACTTGTTTTTCCATGTCCAGCCCACCAAACCGCATGTTTTTCCTCTCATCTCGCCAGCCCGCCTGGGCTGGAGCCCCCGGCACGCATGAGGCCTGCCCGCCGGCCCAGAGAGGAGGAGGGGCAAGCTGCCCACACCCTAGGCCAGACCCGATCAGGCAGGGTGGGGCAGGGTGACCCTTCTACTCCAGCCCTACCCACGCCCCACCCGCATGCCGCCTCCTGCCTGGCATTCGAGGCTCAGGTCTGGTTCAACCTTATCTCGTCTCAATAAGCCAGGGACAGTGAAGGGGAGTGCATGTCTATGCTTGTAGAGTGGCCATGGTGACACAGGGGAACCGTGGGCTTCCATCCACAGTGTGCACGTGACTGTGAGTGACTCTGTGTGATTGCATGTGCGTGTCCAGTATGTGTGATGCTGGGAGGGGCCTGGGGCAGAACCCCCAGGATCCAGATCTCGCTTTGCAGCAGAAGAGATGAGGGGACAGAGAGGCATCAGGAGAACTCCAGGTGGAGGCGGCAATGCTGTGGGCGGAGGCAGCTCCATTCCCCAGGCCTGTCGGGGAAAGCAGGGCCCAGTTGAGACCCCACAGGGCCAACCTGCGTTCTGCCCTCCACTGTCCTCCTCCCTTGGGAAGCCTTCCAGGCCCTGTGTCCATCTCGTGTCGTTCCATGTTCATCCTGTGTGCCTTTAGTGTCTCTTCCCTGTCTGCCCACGGGTGCAGAACTCTGCCTGGGGGTGGGGTGGGGGGCGGCCAAGGACACAGGAAGTGCCTTCTGGGGGCCTGTTGGCCAGGCCAGAGTTGGCAGGCACCCCAGGAGGAAAGGACATTCCGAGGTCGGCCGAGAAGCCTCCACTCCCCGCTCCTGCCACCGCCCCCCTTACCCCCAGGAAGGGGAAGGGCGCTGGGGGTGGGGTGGGGATCGGAGCCTGCAGAGTCAGCTCCCTGCTGCCCGGGACTCCTCAGAGGGCAGAGCGGGCCACAGCACTGGACTCATAGGCCCCCACCCCCGGCCAGCCTCCCCACTGACCAGGCTCCTCCACTCCCCAACTGTCCTCCCCCCTCAGACCAGCCTCCCCTTCCAACCTCCCCCTCACGCCAGTTCCTCTCCCTGACTAGGAAGGTCACGGTGGGGTGGGGGTTGGGGGGCCGACTGGGGGCTTTGTCTGTCATCTGGCTACTCCTGCCTGGCCCTGGGCCCTGAGCAGGGAAGGGCTTGGGTTTCCTGACAGGGACCAGGTTTCTCAGAGGGAAAAGGAGGAAAGAAAAACAAAAGGAAGAAAAGGAGTGACTTGCTGCAGCTGGAGCCCAGCTGAGGGGCCGGGTGGGTGGAGGTGGGGGTGCTGTGAGATTGTAGGACAGTGTGGGATCAGGATGCCTGTTGTGAGTGTGTTGTGAGTTGGAGGAAAAGCTGTTTTTAAGAAGCTGTGATTGCAAGGCTGTGTGTAACTGTGAGAGGCTCCGTGTGTGTGACTGTGAGACTCTGGGCAGTTGTGTAACTGTATGATGGGAGGCTGTGTGGGACTGGATGACTGTGTTTGCACATGACTCAGGGTGAGGCTGTTCAATTTTGAGACCATCCCTATGTGCAAGGCTGTGTGGCCAAGGTACTCTGTAAGAGTGCCTGCAAATGTGCCACTGTGTCTGAACACAGAAACAGCTAGAGCTCATACATGAGGCAGCGCATATGTGATGGAGCAAAGTGAGGCTGAATGCATTTTGCAAACTGTGCGTGTGGAAGGTGCCCGGAATTCCCAGCATGTTCACACGTATGAACTGAACACTGTGTGAGTGCATGTTAGAGTGTGTGAGCAAACGCTCCTATGCACACAGGTCACAGTATCAGGCTCTGGGCATACAGGGCATCTGGGTTGCCCCTTGGGGGTCTCTTGAGATACCCAAGTGACTGTGTCAGCCTGTGGCAGGGTGTCGCTAGGTCCCATGCGGGGCCGTGTGCGCGTGTGCATGCGTGCGTGTGCCCCCGCTGGCCCAGGGTTTGTTTGTTTTCCTCCTAATTGACTTGTTTTTCCATGTCCAGCCCACCAAACCGCATGTTTTTCCTCTCATCTCGCCAGCCCGCCTGGGCTGGAGCCCCCGGCACGCATGAGGCCTGCCCGCCGGCCCAGAGAGGAGGAGGGGCAAGCTGCCCACACCCTAGGCCAGACCCGATCAGGCAGGGTGGGGCAGGGTGACCCTTCTACTCCAGCCCTACCCACGCCCCACCCGCATGCCGCCTCCTGCCTGGCATTCGAGGCTCAGGTCTGGTTCAACCTTATCTCGTGGCATCCCTTGAGGCATTCCAACTTCTGGACTCCCAAATGCCCCACCGACCTCCCACTTGTGATTTCTCCCCAGACATTTTCTTTGACCATAGCCTTCTCCCCACTCTTTCCTTTCCAGCCAAACAGGGCTACAGGGAAAGGAGTGCTGAACCAGGGGATCCAGAGCTTCCATCCTAACCAATCAAATAAAAGTTTTAAAAAACTGGACAAAGAACTGTCCATTTAAAAATCATTTTAATCTCTGGTTTGTTTTAGTTTAAGATCAGAATGATACAGAATCAGCAGTGTCTTGTAAATAAAATGATGCTACTAAAAGGAACACTGTGATCCTGCTTCCTAATGTGGGGGGTCGTTCCGTCATCCTAGGGAGGAGAGGAGTCCTTAGGGCTCTGCTCGTGAGGATCCACTTGAGAGCAAGAAGGCAGATCAGGAGAAAGCAGTTCAGGGATTAGCCTGGTTAAGGAGACTTCCAACAGAATACTGTTAAGACCAAGTTCCCTTGTAAATAGAGACATAAAAATTGCACATGTTTAGGATAAATATTAAATAATTTTTGGTTTGAATGACCCACAAATCAGGGGTAACTCTGTCCTGTTCTCTGATAGCTGGCAGGAAGGATAATTTGATATTGAGTGTTGCCAAAGCCAGTCTCTTGTTACTAATATAAAGTGACTGAGACGATAATGATTAATATCCCCTGTTCCTCTGACCAGGTCTTTAGAAGGAAATAATGCAATGAGAGATAAGTACCTGAAACTAATGCTACAGCCAACTCATGGCCAGCCTTCCTCTGGCAGCAGGGCCTGGAGGGCAGCGAGCACTCTATATAAAAGGTCTGGGCCCTGGTTACAACAGGGCAGCCATGGGCATGTCCTGTGGGTATAGACTACGGACATTACTTCAAGACCTAATTCCCCTCCAACGACCTCTCAAAGAAGATCATATCATCAGCAACAGGGGTCCAGGGCCACCAAGGCCCAGCCATCACAGCTAGCCTTGTCCATCCTGAGGACTTCTGGGACCCAAACTGAGAAGACAGGGATGTGGGTGACCAGTGCCAAGCTGGGTTCATCCTTTTTCCACAGCACTCAGTAAATGGCCCTTTTCCCTCTGTAAGGGCCTGGGGCTAGACTGAGTGCTCCACTTCTGATGGACCCCACAGTGGGCCAAGGAGAATTATTAGGCTGGTCCTGCATTTCTCAAGCTGGCCAACAGGGGTCACTCCACCCGTGGCTTGCAACTAAAATGTTGGGTTTTGACTGCCATCTCTTCAGTTTAGACACATTAAAGAATAACCAAAAAAAGGCCTTCCCATGGGGAAAGGTACATTCCCACCAAAATACATTTTCACACCTCTTTAAGCCCCACAGGTGGGTCAGTGTTTTTGTGGAAGACCCTGAACAACCCTTCAGCCTAACATTTTGCATGGTGGTCTATGCTAGTCTTTTGACAACGAGGCAAGTGTCTGCTCCCAGATCCCTTAAACATCTCTTAGGTAGCTTCTAGGGAATTAGGAGATGATTTTTGGGCAGTGGGGTGAACCATACCCAAATAAAATCAGGCCAGAGGAGCTTGAATCATTGGCTCAGGAGAAAAGAAATGAAGAAATGGAACTATGTTCAGAGTATTCACTCTGTTGGTGGGTACCTGCAGCTGGGATCTGGATGCCTGCCCACCTCACCCTCAGCAATGGTGATGGCCTTGTCATTCTGACTTCTCCAGATCCCTCTTCCAAATCACACTCACCTGGTCTTCCCTCTACCTTCTTGCTGGCTCCTTCTTATTTCTTTTTGTGGCTCATTTCCCTCCATCGACCTCTTTACATGCTGATGGTCTTTAGGGCTCAGTTCTGGGTCCTCTTCTCTCTTCACTCCACGATCTCTCCCTTGGCCATCTCACCCCCTCCCATAGCCTTAATGCTGACAACCCCCCACAAATATCCATCTCCAGCAGAGGCCTCTCCCCAAATCCCAGACGCTCAGACCCACTGGTTACCAGCCATCTCAACTCCCGGTTGTCCTCCAAGGATACCACTGAACAGGTCTGCAGCAGATGTCTAGGGAGCCACAGATCCCTTGCCCATACTATTAATACTTCTCACTCTCAAATTCTGCAGTTATTCGCCTAAGAGCCTTCTTTTGCTTTGCCTGCTGGGACATCAGGTCAAAAGTGCTGGGGAATCAAAGCGCCGCCCTCCCACAGCAGGTGAATCTCTCAACCACTGATGGGCAGGAGCTAGTAAAAACACATCCCAGCTCCCTTACCCTCAAGCAGGGCAACTCAGGTGCATGTTCTGCATCTGCACCTTCAGTGGTTAATGTCAGTCGCCAAGAGGCAATGTCTGGATAATTTACTCTTTATTGACTAACTTAACTTCCTTTTTATATGTTACCTTCCCATTCCTTTATGGTATTTCCCTCACCTGCCAAATAAACTACTTGCATAAGAATTCTCATCTTGGGATCTGATTCTAGGGAAACCCAAACTAAGACACTGTTCAAACAGCACACATTATCTTTTCCTTCTGTTTTCTTCCTGTTGTAGTCATGAATCCCTCCAGCTGTCTTGACTCCTCTCACCCTCTACTCTCCTGTCCTTCCCACCTCCAATCCATCACCAATTCCTGGAGGTCCAACTGCCCCTTCTCAGCTTCCCCAGCTCCATGCCCTGGTTCCAGGTCCTCATCCTCTCTCCTGCATCCAGTAACAGCCTCTTTCATACCTTGGTTTTTCTCCATCCAACCTGCCTCCCTCCACTCAGAGTGATCTTTTAGGAACATGACCCAGAAATTGTCACTGCCCAGCTTCCAGGATCATGATCTGCCCCCCTGTCCCTTCCTTCAGCTCTCTCTTCACATAGACACCAGCCCAAGTGGCCTTTATGTGCCCTCCCAGCTGCTAAGGCCTACAGTCACACCCAGCTCTCTGCCAGAAATGATGTTTCAATGTGTCTTCTAAATCACCATTCGCTTCCCAAGTCTCCATTCGTTTCCCACTCCAGGATGCCTTCCTCCTTCCCTGGGGCCTCCTGGAGCGCCTTGCCTATACCTGTATAACTACATATCCCAATTCCCTCCCTGAGGCCCTCTGACCAGCCCTTGTGGGAGCAGACACAGTGAGGCTCCTCCAGCTCAGATCCGTGACCTGAGGGTCTCTCCCCACTCATGTCCCAGGTAAGCCATGCCTTACCAGCTCTCTGCCCACGTTGTCAGAGGGAATAGGGTTTTAGGATACCTAAGACCTCCACGGGGGTGGGATCATGGGCAAACTGTCTAGGGGTCTGGACTCAGTGGGCAAGACTGGACTAAGAGGCCAGAAGAGTGGGCCAGGACAGAATCAGAGGGCAAGGGTCAGGCTGCAGCTCTCCCCTCTCCGTCTCCCCCTAACAGGAAGGGGACTTGATCTGGGCTAGGAGTCTGGGTCTCAAGGAAGGAGGGAGGCTGAATGAGGGGTGGGGGCAACACTTACAGCCCACATGCAGCAGGACTTGGTGGCGCAGGTGCCAGGAGTCACGGTGGAAGCAGGCGTACAGGCCACTGTGGCCCAGTTCTAGGCCACGGAGCACCAGCTGAGAGCCGTTGAGCAGGTCAGGGGCCAGGTCTGTCCCATTTACCCGCCACGTCACTGCTGCATCCCAGTTTGCTGTCCCACATGGCAGTGTCACGTCGGAGCCCAGGCGCTCGTACTGCACATGGGGTGCCTCTGTGGGGGGCGGGGACAGAGGCCAAAAGTCACAGGTCACAGCCCTGCCCAGCACTCCCAGGTGAATGTGCTCAGACAAGAGCCTGTGAGGATGTATGACTGAGGACGAGAGGCTCAGTGTCTGACTGTGTGAGTGTCTTGGGGAGATGGAGAGTGTTCAAGTGTACAAGTGTGTGGGTATATGAGTGTCTCCAAATGTATGCATGTGCATGTACAGGGGCTAGGTGTATGACTGGGCAATCTTCTGTGTGTGTGTGTTTGCATGTGACAGAGTTTGCATAATGCTGAGAGGGGTCAGTTCTCAGAGAAAACCCAGTTCCTCTCCAGTGCCTGGGTTTTTTAAAGTTTCCTGACCCCCATGACCCTGATCTCTTGCCACCCACAGGCTCAGCCCAGTCACTGACATCCATTACCCAGGCAAGCTGGCACTGAGGGGCCCCACTCCTGGACTCCTTTTTCTGTCTCCCTATCTATTTCTCTTCCCCACCCCATCTTTGTCTCCTTCTGTCCTGTCTCTATCCCCACCTCCCCCATCTCTCTTCCTGTCTCTCTCCTTTTCCTCCGTCTGCCCAGCCTGCCATCCCACAACAACCTGCCCCTCAGCCATCCAGGGCTCAGGTGGCAGCAGGAGAAGGGAGAATGGGCAGCAGGGAACCCTAGGGAACTCCTAGCAGATGTCAAGTTCACAAGGCAGGAACTACTTAGGGCAGGTTGGGGTCTTGAGGGGTGCGGTGCTGCTGGGATGAAGCGAGCACTCTGACCATTCATCTCCTGCCCCCAGGAGCCGCCTGTCAGAGCCAAAATCAAACCCCAGCCCTGGCTTCAGCAACCCAGGCGTGATGAACGGAGCCCAGGAGACTGGAAATGGAAGGGTGGAGGCGAGCACCTGTCGACAGGCAGTGCGAAGTGAGGGAAGCGAGCAGGGCAGAGAGGCAGATTTAAGATGCAGGCACATAGAGACAGGGAGATGGGAATCTCAAGACACCCCCTTCTCATTCTACCCCCTGAGCCTGAGGGACAGACATTTTCCAGGTCTTGGCCAGATCTGTGGAGTGAAGGTGGGAGAGGAGAAGGGAAGGGGGAGAGGGTAGCAGTTTGGTGGGGGCTGCAGGATCCCTCGTTAACACTCGCTTACATCTCCCCTCCAGAGAGTCACCCTGCTGAGCTGGGGAATTTTCAGAGGCAATTCCTGTTAACGAGCCAATTAAGTTGGGCCAGTGGCCTCTTAATTAGACTTGTTAACACCACCAAGACTGCAGGGGTGTAGGGATCCCCCTTGGACCCACTGGCCACCCCCTCCCCCCATTGCAGCCCCCTCCTCAGCACTGCTTTTCTCTGCGCTGGAACGTCTGTCCTGGTTTGCTGCCTCTGTTGTCCTCGCTGTGCCAGGGTCTCTCTGTGACTCTGGGTCTCTCTCCCTCGCTGCCTGTCTCTATCCTGCCCCTCTCTGAGCCTCTCTGTCCCTGTCAGAGGAGAAGGAAGCAGAAAACCCAGCCAGCCCTGACCACTCGTCTGTGGAGCCTGGGACCAGCCGAACAGAGGATGAACGGGCGGAAGGGCGGTGGCTAGGGGCCTTGGAGGCCACAGCTGCGAGGCTGGACCAGACACTAAACAGGGGCCTCCCCCTGACCAGAGGCCCAGTGTCCAAGACTCCGGCCACCGAGCCCCCCCAACAGTCCACCAGCTCCAGTCACTGAGCCCCCCTCCAGCCTCCCTTCCAAAAACCTGGAGCTTCCAGGAAACATGCCAAGCCCCTCTCTCTGCACCCCCTAGCAGAGACTTTGCATCCAGCTGCCTGAGGAGGAGGCTGAAAACTGACCTTTGGGGAGGGGGTGTGGCCATCATGGTCCCAGCAGCAACACATCAACACTGACCAGGCAGTTCAATGCTAACATGGACCCAGTGTGGCCCTTAATCCTGGGGAGCAGGTACAGTCACCACACAAGGACACAGCGTCCCAACATCACATTATACAATGGCTATGGGATAACACCTCCCCACCATACCTCGTCTGCTCCACAAAAAAAGTAGAAACACAACCTGACAGTAATGACAAACCGATGATGTAAGGGCAGGGCAGGATGAAAAAATGACAACACAATGGCAGAAGACAACGATAGGCCACAATGGAGAGGTGGAGGGGCAACAGGACATAACAAGCACACAGTGTCACAACCGCTACAATAACACAACAATGGCAATACACACAGCCATGCAACTGCTCCAAAGATGGCAGTGATTTAATCTTTTGTCTCTGGACAGTTCTGCTCCCGCCCCGTGGGTGCCCCTACTGATGTGCTGTCCATTTCAGAAATTAAATCAAGCAGCAGGGGGAGGATGGGGTTCTTGGCCCTGACGCGGTGACAAATGCTCCAAAGGAATCAGCTGTGAAAAGGTTGTTAGAAGCCAGGATGAGAGACAGAGACAGGATGAGGTCATGGACATGGAGAACACAGAGGGACAGAGCTGACGGCTCCCTCACACCTGCACACACAGCCTCACAGGGGGACCACATGCCAGAAACAGTCCCCCCAGGCATCCTAAAGCAACTTCACTTTGCCACATACACAGGAACAAGGGCAGTCACCCCTAAAGAAGAAGGACATGCAGGACAGTCATCCACAAGGCCACAGTCACAAGTTCACAGTCACACAGGGACACTGTCTCACTTCAGGGATGGTGACACCTGATACGAGATCACACGTACACATACAAGAAGGGCACCATCACCCGGGGACACAGGGAGACAGTTTAATACAAACACACGAAGAGAGATAGAGAGATACAATTACATGTGGAGTACAGTCTCAAACGCAAGGATACAGCCCACAAAGGGCATGCAGACAGGCAATGTGACACAGACAGACAGTGTCACACGTGAGGAACAGCCCACAAGAATACAGCCACACAGAGAAATGCACTCAAACAGGGACACGCTCTCACCCTCACAAGAACACAATCTCACACTCTCAGACAGGTGGCCTTATGTCCAGGACCATGGGGGCACAATGTAGAGACCACTGGCAGGCCCTAGAGACGCCCAGTCAATGCCCTTGGGGGTGGCCAGGATCTCTCTGGGTCTCACTGTTGATCTCATAAAGAAGAGGCCATAGAAGCCTCGACTCACTCCTCACAGCCTTGAGGGTGGCAGAGCCCAGCCACCAGGGTCTGCTCCATGCCTAGTTCCTGGAGAGGCCTTCACCCTCTCTGCTTTTACCCAACCCGACTGACACAGAGTATGAGGTGGGAATCATGCAGGCAGGGAGCTTAGGGAGCCTTGTTCGAGGTGAGTTTTGAGTTCAGACCCTCAGCTGATGTTGCTGTTTGAGGTGCTGCCTCAAGTGCAGTAGAGGGGCAGGAGGTCAAGTTAAGAGGGCCCCTGTTTCTCCCCGCAGGGACACGGTTCCTTGTCCTGTGGGCTGTGGGCAGGCCTTGCCCCTCACTGGAGAAATAGGTAGAGGGAGGGCAGGGAGGCTGCCAATGTCTGAGCCCTGAGCTCTCCCCTGTGTGGCCATCCCAGCTGACTAACCTGTCCCTTCCTTAGTGCACTAGCTCTCTCCTGCATGTTACCCTGTCCCCTCATCTTGTTCTCAGTCAGTCCACCTTCTCTGTCCCTATCCTCCCTCTGGGATGAAGCTGAGGGTAGAAGGTGACCTGCAGTCTTGCCCACTGTCTCCAATCAGTGCCTCCAACTGCACCCCCACAAATCTCTGAGAGATCCCCTTTCACCCAGATACAATACACAGGTCCTGCCCCAGCCTCCCCCACCAATTCCCATCCCACCTGCCTGTACCCTATGCCACCCTAGTAAGAAGACAGATCACCTCAAGCCAGAGACACTGTCAGCATTCGACCACCCAGGTGTGACTGTGGAGGACTGTGCATATCAGTGTCACATGACTCCATGTCCCTCTGGGTGGTCATGTGTGACAATGCCAATGTGTGACTCTTGAGTGCTGTCAGGATGCAGCTATGCCAGTGAGGGTTCATGTCCAGCTCTGAGACGGGGGTCAGCAGGCGGCTCCCGTGAGCACTCACCCTGTGGACTGTGTCTCTGGGTGTAGACAACTGCAGCGGCAGCAGCAAGCACAGCACAGCAGGCCCACGGGACAGGAGCAGCCATCTGTTGGGAGAAACCAGGGTGGGGGAGGAGACAGCATCAGCCCAGGCAGGACTGTCCTGGGGAGCCCCTCCTGTTCTTAGGCAAGACTGGGAAATCCCAGCCCTAGGGCAAGGGCAACTTGACCCCAAAATGCCCTTCTTAATGGGGCTCAAGATCTTCTTTCAGGCAATAGAAAGCAACATTATTGGCATCTGTAGGCAAAGGTTTGCTAAGATGGTAGAAGGCAACCTATGGTGGTTTGCTGTTCGATAAGACTGCTGGCTACACAGCGTTGTCAACCGCAAATGAGTTATAGAATATTGGTAATGCCAGGGCCATTTTTCTAAAAAAAATAAATAAATAACTTTACTGGTGAGGTTAGCTAATTTGCTATAAACATCGTAAACTGAAAGGGTAATGTTTTAATTTAATTGGAGGTCTATACTTCTCCAGATTGCTTTGAATTGGAAGCCCCCTGTTGTGCTCCTGGGGAGATAGCCTGAAACCTGGATGCTCCAGAGCCGCTCAGATCCGTCATCTGTCCCCAACACCCCTGCGGCGAGCCTTGCCACTGGGCCCTGGGAAGCTCAGAGCAGTCGAGTCAGGGTAGCGGGACATGACCCAGGTCAGATGTGACTTTTCCGTAATTGTACACCAATGCTCAAGAGAAAATGAAGGATTTTAATATGTAAGTCCTTATCAGGGACCCTGGCCCACCCTTGACCCCAGCCATGTGCCCCTAGGAGCCTGGGAACCCCAGCCCAGTAGGTGAGCATCAGTGTCCACATGCACCCATGCAAGTACACAGGATGCACTCAGGACATGGCCCCAGAAGCCAGATGGATCTAGTGCCCCCCAACCTGATGTCCTGCTTCCTGAGATGAGTCCAACTATTCTCTTCCCCTCCCCCAGCACACATCTACACTTGATGGCAGGGAAATAATTATTTCCTGCAGAATGGGCCACAAATGTAACAACCCCCCCCCCCACCACCTTCAGTCTGAAAAGAGAGAACTATCAACCACACAGAAGCAAAGATCCAGAGAAACACTGAGGGATGCTACCAGACACTCAACCAGGGCCACCCTCTGATTCCAGCCAGCCACACAGCAAAGATGCTGGCCAGGCACACTGCCCCAAACCACCAGACAGGACCCCAAAGAAACAGCTCCACACATAGTGGAAGATACACCAGAGACTGTTAGAAGGACCATCAGACAAAGCCAAAGAGACAGGTAGATGAAACCAGATAGCCAGCCAAAGAGGTGGTCAGAGAACAATGACTCAATCAAAGGACCCGCCAGAAACACTGGAAAGGACTCAGCTAGACCCAGGCAAACACAGTGCCGAAGGACAGGCAAGGAGCACAGGCAGTGAAGCTGTCGGTGACAAAGCCAGAGAGCTAAGACACTGTCAGAAACAGTGCCAGAGAAACCGTCTGACACACAAGCAGAGAAATACCAGAGAAACTGATAGACACAAACAGGCATACACCCAGAAAAACAGCTCAAGAAAAGAGCCAGAGCCACAGCCAGATGCTCAGTCAGGAAGTATCCACACCACTCCAAACACTGCCAGAGACACTGTCAGACACACAGTCAGACACACTGCCAGAGACACCATTAGAAAGACGGCCAGAGAAACAGCCAGACACACAGCCAGAGAAACTGACAGAGACGCAGTGCCAGATACACCCCAAGAAAGTGCCAGAGACTCAGCTCCAGACGGTGTAGACATAGCATAGCAGAGACAAATGTGGGTATCAGCCTGAAGCAGCTGTGGAGAGGTTGGAGAGCAACAGACTTCCTGGGGCTTCCTGTGGGAGAGGGCTCCTGCCTGCCTTTTGCTACCCTTGACCTTCTCCAGGGAAGTCCCCTCCTCTGAGCCTGCTTTTCCTTTCCTCCCTGTCACAGCCACAGGTGCCCTGACTGCCCCTCCCTGGCACAGCAAATCTTTCTGTGTCCCAAGTGGCCCCAGCTACTCTCTGCACATCAGTGACTCCTGGAGCCTTAGCTACCATCTGGCCTGGCTCCTTCTGACCCTCAGCCCCTCCGCACTCCTCAGCTACTCCTCAGGCCTAGGAGGTTAAGACAATGGCCAAAGTTACAGTCAGCAAGCGGTGGAGCCAGGAAAAGAACCCAGGACTGCCTGAATTCAGAGGTGGTGTGAGAGAGAGAAAAAGAGACCAGCAGCCAGAGGCCTACCTGGTTCCCTGACCTCAGCCCTGGCCAGTCGCCCTCAGACCTTCCCCCACTGCCTCTGCCATCTGTCCATGTCTTTCTCCTCACAGCCAGGAAGATCCTCCGCCTTGGTCCCAGGCCCACTGCCCACCACATGGGAGCAGGAACCAGGGCATGGGCAGGCAGAAGAGCAGGCAGAGCGGCTGAGGTTAGATCCAAGGATGGGAGTGTTTAGGGAGAGGAGGAACGGATGGCCTTTACTCCCAGCTCCCTCCTGGTCCGCACAAGCACACACTCCCACGTGCATGCGTGCACACGCACACACACTCACACACACACACTCAGGCCCCCGCAGGGGGAGGGGTGGCTTCTTCATCAAAGTCGCCTCCATCAGCCCGATGAGTTACTGTAAGGGCCGGGCCCTGGGCCAACAGGGCTGCAGCCACGGGAGACGGGCGCTGCTGAGAGTGAGTGCTGCAGAGTGGGGGTGGGGTGCCAAGACAGACACTGCAGGGTTGGGGGCACCCAGAAAAGGGAGAGACTCAGGGAGGGGAAACAAGAGGCAGGGAGAGAGAAGGAGCTCTGAGTGGAGACCCAGAGGGACAAGGAGAGGCTGAGATAGGAGAGACGCAGGGGGAAAGATGGGGCACATAGGAGATGGGCAGAGACTCAAGGGCAGAGGGACAGATCCAGAGAGAAGGGAGGAGACCCCTGGGAGGGGTCTCTGCCCACCCTAGAGCATCTCCATGGCCTGCCCAGCTCCTCTAGCACAAAGGAGGATGGGATGGTGGTCAATGTTATGTGAGGCAAGAGCAGGGCCCTCCTGGAGGCTGGAAGGATTCTTTCTGGGGATCCAGGACCCCAGCCCCTAGGGGACAAGGGTGAAACCCCATCCATGCCCCTGCCCTGCAGATCCAGAAAGCCCCAGGCCAGTGTCACTTCCCCCTTTCCTCAGACTCCCAACTGGGCCCACTGCCCAGGTCGGAGGTTGAGGCCAGAGGCATCCAGGACACACCTCCATCCTGCCTTGGCTCATTCCAGGCCACCCATCCCAGGGTAAAGAGCATCTTTCCTGAGAATTTTCCAAGTCCACACCCTATGGCTCTGGGATAGATCTGCAGGATGAATCCCATAGAGCCCCAGATAAGGGCTATGCAAACTGGCCCAGGCTTCCTATCAGCCCCTTGAAGAGGTCAGCCCCAGAATGAGGAGGGAACAGAGGGGGTACCCCATAAGCAAGAAAGGAGCCCAGGGCCCAGAAGCCCCTGAATCCCTTGTCAGCACAAGGGTCCCTGCACCTATCCCAGCAAAGAACCCCAGTGTCATCATTACTCCTACACAGGTAACACATTAAGAGTCAAATTCTGGGGTCCCAACTTACTGCCATTGTCCTGCTGTGGCATAAAGACACCATTACACAATGATAACAACGCCCATTGAAAATGACACAGTTGTACCATTGACAATGACACACAGGGATGTTGACAGTCACCACAATGACAATAATGCAGTGAGTGACAGTCACATACATTGACACCAACAAACAGGGCAATGATACCAGTTGACAATGATACAGTCACAGTGACAGTAGCCTCAGAATCAAAGATGCAATGAGACTCCGTCACATAGAGTAACACTGACGGTGACATCAACACAGTGACACAGCGATGTTGATGGACTCAGTAACAGTCTCACAGAATAATACTAGTCCACAGTAATACTGGCACCCCTGGAGTCTGACAGCCGCCATCAGTAACACTGACAGACACTATGACAGGCTCCAGGTCAGGAACCTCTATTACCCAGTTTAAGAATCTGGCCTGCCTACAGAATGGGAGAAAATTTTTGCAATCTACTCATCTGACAAAGGGCTAATATCCAGAACCTACAAAGAACTCAAACAAATTTACAGAAAAAAAAAAAAACCCCATCAAAGTGGGGCCAAAGGATATGAACAGAATTTTCTCAAAAGAAGAACATTCAATACAGTCAACAGACACATGAAAAAATGTTATCATCACTGGCCCATCAGAAGAAATGCAAATCAAAACCACATGAGATACCATCTCACACAGTTTAGAATGGGCGATCTTAAAAAGGTCAGGAAACCAACAGGTTGCTGGAGAGGATGTGGAGGAAATAGGAAACACTTTTACACTGTTGGTGGGATTGTAAACTAAGTTCAACCATTACTGGAAAAAGTAATGGCGATTCCTCAGGATCTAGAGAGTAGATGTACCCCCATATGACAAGCCAATCCATTACCCGTGGGTATACTTACCCAAAGGGATTATCAAATTATAGCTGCTATAAAAGACACATGCACACGTATGTTTATTGCAGGCACTTGTCACATAGGCAAAGACTTGGATCACCAAATGTCGATTCAGTTGAACAGATTGGATTAAGAACAATTGGCCATATACACCATGGAATACTATTGCGCATTAAAAAAGGATGAGTTTGTGTCCTTTGTAGGGACATGGGAATGCAGCTGGAACCATCATTACTTAGAACTATAACAAGAACAGAAAACCAACACCCCGCATTTGTTCGTCCTCATAGGTGGAACGTGAACATGGATCACTTTGGACTCAGGAGGGGAACATCACACACCGGGAGCCTAATCATGGGGAGGGGGGAGGGGGGGAGGGACTGCATTGGAGTTATACTGATGTAAATGAAGAGTTGATGGGTGCAGCACAGCGCAACATGGCACAAGTATACATATGGTAACAACCCTGCACTTATGCACTGTACCCTACAACTAAAGTATAATAATAAATAATAAAGTTTAAATTAAAAAAAAAAAAAAAAAAGATCTGGCTTAGGACCCAGGACCAAGAACTGTCTTGCCAGTCCCAGCAATGTTCCAGTTGCCCCCTGTGGCCCCTCCCCTCACCCCATGCCTAGCTCAGGGTAGAACCTGGGCAAAGGAGGTGAGCGTTTTGGAAGCCTCTATTTATCTGCCAGAAATGCAGCAGACAGCAGTTTAAGATTGTGAAGTGCGCAACCCCTGGGGAAGTCCTGCCACCATCAGGTCAGGGTGGGGGATAATGAGCACCACTAACTGTGTTTCAGCTATAATTGTGTGTGCGTGTTGATCTGTAATAGTGTGTTATGAACTTCAGGGTTTGGGTTGCTGTGGGCATGCTGAGGGTCAGGTGGGCTCAGTCTTGCCTGGACAATGAACGATCAGGGAGGCCTCAAAACAAGTGACCTCAAAGCAAGGTTATTGTTCCATCTCTGAGGCAGGGAATTGAAATCCAGAGAAGGTCACCAGATGGACTCCCTCCATTGCCAGGGATCAGGGTGGGTTCAGAACATCCATCTGATAAGGGCATCTGGCCCAGCAAAGAGCGGAGGGGACTCCCCACAGCTTCCAGTCCCCTGACTCCCATAGCCCAGACTCCAGAATCCCACAGTGAGGGGAAAAGGCACCTTTTATCCTGGGGCCTCATCTCCTTCACCTCTCCCCACAGCAGCCAGCCTAGAGGACCTATCTCAGGAATGAGGCAAGAACACAGGACACAGCATGGACTCACTGATTCAAACGCCTGGGGACTCTAGAAGCCTCAGACCTGCAGAGGAATTACGTTGGAGCGGAGAAAGAGAGATACATAGACTTGGAGAAGGAAATGAGAGACAGAGCGGGGGCAAAGACAGGGACAAGGACATGGTGGGCAGGGAGGAACAGTACTGGCTGAGGGAGAGCCTGGAAGAGACAGTCAGGGCAGGCGGGAAGCTCCAGGATGGGGAGGAGGGGCTGAGGCTGGGAGGCCCCCAGATCCCACCAGGCCTAGGCAGCCTGGACAGCGTGGGCGGTGGGGGCGGGGGCAGAGGCCTGAGCGGTCCAGAGGCTTGGGGGGTGGGGGGACCAGGCCGAGGAGGGAGGCCTGGCCCTTGGCAGCTGGCCCAGCAAGCCCCCAGCCAGGGAGGGCGGGCCTAGGTCAGGGGCCAGCTTGTGGGCTGGGGCTAGCTGGCCATGGGCGGGCAGGCTCCCACTCCCTATGGTGTTTCTCCCTCCTGTCTCTGAATCTCTGGTCTCTAGCCCCTTCTCTTTTCCCTCCTCTCTGAATCCAGACCTGCCTCTCCTCTCAGCTCTCTCAGAGACCCCACCCCAAGTGGCATAGGACTCCAAGCTGTGCCTGGGTTCAGGATTCAAGATTTACCTCCTCCTGGGCTACCATGTCCCCACCCACACCAGGGGCAAGCCTCAGTCCTCAGGTGAAAGGACCCTATCCAAGCTTAGGCCCCGTCCTCCTCCTTAGAAGGGGGCAGGATAAGCCAAGCACCAGTAGGAGGGGGCCAGAAGGGAGGCAGGGGGAGCGGTCCCCCAGCTCTCAACGCTGGCTGAGGCTGTGGAAAAGGAGGCGGCCCAATTGAGTGAGTTGGGGGGGTGGGTATCCGCACCTGCTGTTGTGACCTCCACAGCCGGAGATGGAGGCCTGGGGGCGACAAGATTCCGATGGATTTTGGCAGCGGCCTGGACTCTGAGTGCTCAAAACCCCCACTCCCAGCCTTTTGCACCGTAGGGACCCTGAGATCAGCATGTGCGTGCCCTGCTGCACGTGTGTGCGGGCGTGTTGTTGGGGGAGCTGGGGCCCTCCCATGATGGGCCTGGCTGGGCAGATGGGGAGGCATCCTGGGGAGATGGGAATCTGTCACCAGCCTGTGCCCACATGTGAAGGCCCACTTGGAGCCCTGCGTGCTGCCTGGTGACCTGGGCATGGGCTTGTATATGCACATACATGCAGGCCTTTTGCTTAAGTAGCCCTTTAGATGCAGAAGGCCTGGGCTTTTACCCTCAGAAGTCATCTGGTCCAGCCCCCTTCCTCTTGAATGGAGAAGAGGAAGGGGCAGATAAGTTCATATCCTCCCTTTGGATACATAGGCTCTGGAGAGCCTCACAGAACCTGAGGCACTGGTGCCAAATCCCCCAGCCCCCAACCCCAGTCCAGTCTCTTCTGGATTCCACAAGAATCAGGAGGCCCCCTCCACCCAGGAAAGGCACACACTCCAGTCAGGTTAAGTCTGTGGGGAGCGGAGTGCTGCTCTTCTTGGAGGGACAGAATGCTGCAGCATGTTAGACAGCTGGAAGAACTCCATGAAAGGCAGGGGATGGGCAGAGCAATAGGGTTGACTAAGACTTCCCTTAGCAGGGGGGATGGGGTAGGGAAAGGCCCGAAGTGGATGCCAGGGACAGGAAGGAGGCTGCAAGGCAGGGCCCCCCATGGAGACAAGGATGGATAGAATGGCTTTCCAGAGTTGGAGACTGGGACAAAGACCTATTTGCCTCAGCATCTCCTACCACACCCACCCCTGGACCCATCACTGCTATAGTACAGACACACCCTTGAATCCATACACAGAGGTCCAGGCATGCAAGCTCACACACACACACACACCACAGCACACCTGGGGCAGCAGTGGGGGCGGGGCATGTCTGCATGCTGCTAACAACAAAAACCTGAGTAGTCACTCTGCAGAGCCAGAGTTGGGTGGCGGGCAAAGAGCTTCGAATGTCCTTCTTTATCTGCTTTTCCTGCCCCCTAACATGCACGTGCACAGCACGCTACTCTGAGGAGCCTTGCCACTGGTCTGCGGGCAAACCAGCATCCTCTCCCCTTTCTCCCCCTCCCTCCACAGTGTAGAGGCAGAATCTGTCTGATGGTAACGACAGCGGAGTACGCCCACACACAGCACACACACACACCTAGCCATCAGGCAACAAGGCGCCACAGTGCCACTTCATCCTACCCAGTAGACACACACTTGGGTCTCATACACCCGCAGCCGCCTTCAAACGCCTGCCTCCTCAGACACACAGGACCAGAGCTTCATCGGACAAACCCGCAGCAGCCTTTTACAGACACGGGCATTCAGAGTCCTAACATTGTGCCACACATCCAGCTCTCCCCATGATACCACCCACACGCCCCCGTACATCTGGTGCCGTGGCCACATACAATTAAACGTCACCTCACACACACAGACTCGCCCTCACACAGCTGTCCTCACATATGGATAGCATCACACACTCGACCCAAACAGTCCCTTCCCACACGCGACCACCATGACACCTCCAAACTCAGCCCTCGCCCAGTCCCCTTGGCCCTCACCGCCCGACACACCAATGGCGAAACCCCACATACACACCCTGAACAGACACACTGTGCCAGACCTTCGCGTTCCTACGAGCCGCAGCGAAAGAACGGACAGGAAATACCCTTTGGTTAGCACCGACGTTATTCCCCAGGCAGCCTCTTCCTTCCAAACCTTACTGCTTTCAACCAGCAATTAGGGACTGATCGCGAATCTCCCATCCATATCAGGCAGCAGGGTCAGGAAGTACCTCGGGGACAGTGTTGCGCAACTGGTCCCGCAAGCGCGAAGGCCGCAGGAAACCAGCCAATCACCCAGGCCCTTGCTGCCTCCCTCATGACCCTCTCTTGCCACGATGGGATCAGCAGCAGCTCTCAGCCTGCACCTCGCTGGCGTATCCAAAGGCCTCTTCAAACCCTCTATAGTGCCCATAACGTCTAGCGGTGGAACCCACGACTGTCTGCGCCTGGCTGCAGAAGGGGCAGGAGAGGGGAAGGAGATGGGACCTCCACTCCAGCCCCCCAGCCCCCACCAAAGCCCTGGCATCACTGGCAGCCCACAGAGAGGTAGGGCAGATGCCCAGCATGGGGGGGGCAGCAGGCAGAGCGAGCGGGTGCTCCTCTAATTAACCACTGAGGAGGAGAGTCCTAAGGTGTCCTTGGACCCTGCAGCCCCGCCCCCATCACTGGAGGAGTAGACGCGGAGTCGCTGTCCAGGCAGAATGGAATCCAGGCTGTGCTGGCCAGGCCCCAGCCCAGGAAAGATCGGCAATGCTGCGGACATTC